CCCCTAGAACGATCTTGATTGCAATGACGCCGCATGCAACTAATCCCATTTGTTTTTGCACGCAGTGCTTGCGAGCCCTTTCTAGGTTCTTTCCCCTATCCCAATTTCTTTCAAACATCGTAGGCATAGTCACTACCATCCCATCAAGGTCACTGTTGAGGCCTTTCTTTCGCCCTACCTGTCTCCAATATTACAGAAGCTAAAGACTTCGTACAAATTGCTCTGGATAGTCCGAGAGAAGTTCTTTCGTTCGACACGTAGAAACACGGCGTCATTGCACGCACATCGTTGTTACACGATTGCATTTCTAGTCTTCTTCTTCCTCTTCTTTCTTTCCTTTTATCTTCTCTTTCCCTTTCCCTTTCCCTTCTCTCTCTCTCTGATTTATTTTTTGGCGGGGGGGGGGGGGGCAAGAGTCATTCGCCCCCCCCCGTTTCCCTCTTCTCTTCTTATTCTTCTTTCTTTCCTTTTATCTTCCCTTTCCCTTTCCCTTTTTTCCTTCTCTCTGTCTCCCCATCAAAGAGACCACTCTGTAATCAAGGCCATTCCATTTTATTTAATACATTTTCGATATACTTAAATTGGCAACTATTACGTTCTGTCCGAGATCCTCATTTTAAACGACTGATGCGAAAGACTAGTCGACGCACCCTTTCGAGAAAAGCCCCCCCCCCCCCCGCTTTCATCGAAAGGGTGTGTTAAAACGGTACTCCGCTCTCAACGCACCCTTTCGAGAAAAGGCCCCCCTCTTTTATCGAATGGGTGCGTTGAGCACACCACACCGCGCCGCACCGCACCGCACCCTTTCGATGAAAGCCGCTAGCAATGACGTCTGCATGTGAAAGATTTCACCAATACATACATGGACGACAGGTAGAAGTCGAAACAGATCATAAACCTCTTGTACCGTTGTTCAAAAAATCACTCTGTGATTGTCCTCTTCGCATTCAACGCCTACTAATCCGAGTGCAGAGATATGATTTGAAAGTATCCTACACACCAGGAAAATACATGTACACCGCAGATGCATTGTCTAGAGCGGTAGATCCACAGGCAGACATGCATGTCGAAAGAGAAGAAGACATCAGAATCTATGAAGACACACTGATAGAGACATTACCAGTCACATCAAACAGAAACAGTCAGTTTGTAGATGAAACACAGAAAGACAAAACACTACAAGAATTTATAGGCATCATCAAAGATGGATGGCCTGAAACAAAACAACAATGTCCAGTAGCAATCAGAGAATATTGGAACATTAGAAGTGAGCTGTCAGAAGCCAAAGGCTTAATCATAAAAGGCAGCAGGATCGTTGTACCAAGCACAATGACAAAACAGATGTTGGACAAGATCCATGAAGGACATTTGGGCATAGAAAAATGCAAGAGATGTGCAAAAGAAGTCTTGTATTGGCCCAGAATAAATCAAGACATAACAGAAATGGTACAAAATTGTAACTCGATCATGCTTGATGTATAAACCAAAACAACAGACAGAAAGTCTGAAACCACACACGGTACCAAACAGACCGTGGGAAAAGATCGCTGCAGACTTGCATGTTCACACTGAATAACAAAGATTACATGGTAATAGTAGAGTACTATTCACAATTCATTGAAGTCTGTCCACTGTCAACAACAACAAGTAAAACAGTGATAACAAAAATGAAAGAAGTCTTTTCAAGACATTAAGGCACACCAAGTGAACTCGTGACGGATAATGGTCCGCAATTAGCTAGTAAAGAGTTCAAAAACTTTGCACAACGGATTGGGACTTCTGTCACACAACCATGCAGTGGCGGATCCAGGGGGGGGGGGGGGGGCGGGAGGCCCGGCCCCCCCCCCCCCACTTGAGAAAAAAAATCATGTTAAAACACGTTATTTTTACCTTTTTTTTGGGGGGGGGGGTGCAAATTGTTAAATTTTCGAGGACCAAAAAAAAAAAAAAAAGTGCTCACAGAAGGTAAAGCAGAAAGAGCGATATGATAAACATGCTCGAGACCTACCAGAACTAAACAGAGGTCAGACTGTAAGACTTCAAAACATGCACAACAATCGATGGTCACAAAGTGGCATCGTCAAAGTCAAACTGCCAAACAGATCATATTTGGTAGAGACAGAGTATGGAGAGATTAGACGAAGAAACAGACGTCATCTCAGACCAGCACCCAGACAAAGGGATGATCGGTTCCAACAGACAACACAGACGGACAGCGATCCAGATGACAACTCGGATGTTAATTAGCGAACCAACCCCTGAGCGTTCCGGCGTACCAGCCCAGCATGCAAGCATCATCTTACATGACCACCAGAAGTGGACGAATAAGCAAACCGCCTAATCGAATGGACTTGTGAAATAATCACAAAAACAAATTGAACTATGAACAATGAAAAGCAAAAGGACTATATTAACAAAAGCTGAAAATATCAAGAAGAACTGAAAGTACTGAAAGTTACACTTTGCCTTTAAAAGGACATTATATTATATTGTTATGAATGTTTTAAAGTTGATATTCATTGATTTTAAAAACTAAATTTATTTTCATTATTGCAAAGTTGAAACTTTGATTCGACAAGGTTATCAAAATTCAATGCTTGGAAACATTCGAAGTAATGATTATTATAAATTACAAAACGCTTAAATACAGCCCCGGCATAGCACCGGAAGAGCTCTCCGAACGCTGCTGAGATGTGTGAGATCACAGTATGGACATGACTTGCACAAGCAGACGATGCCCCATGACATCTCACACATTTTCAGTGCCTGTGTTTTCATCTTTTCTTGAGTTTTTTCTCTTACTTCACTACCGTCAGGCTAAATGTATAATCTATTGCCTCACTCTTAACCCCGCGCATGGTTTTATTTTGATGACAAATGCAGCGATACAAAAATAAAGGAATCTGTCGCTTGTAAACAAAATAATTAAGACGCCATTGTATATTCAGCTGCACACACCGGGGTATGTTCGGCGTTTCAAGAGGGAACAAATGCCGTCCTTAATATCATTCCAGGGGGTTTTCAATTTAAAAGTCTGGTTTCTTTGATTGTTAATTACCCCCTATATCCTGTGTATTTACAAGCAAAAGATTTTAGTTATCAGAATCGGGTCATATCCCCTTTTGAATGGTTTGGCATGCCATTACATTTATATACACTAAACTCATTATAATTTGACAAATAATAGCTTTGCAATTATGTTCATTCTCTATGGGATGTCGTCTGCTTGGGCAGTGTTGGTCCATATAGTGATGTCATTAAAACATCGTTATTTTTCCGGCGAATCTCTGGTATATCCCAGCTGCTATGGAGGTGGTTGCATTTGTATTTTTTATAAATCACCCGATATGTAGTTGACCTATAACTTGTACGATGGCCATCTGTTAGATTACCAGTTTCTAGTCATACATTAGTTGACATATTTGTGATTTTCTTTGAATTTCACCTTTAACATTAACTGTATATATGTTTTTGTTTTATTCACAGATACTTGGAAGATATCAAGACTGGATATCGTTAAGTTATATTCAAGCTGAAGTTAAAGCTTAAGTGTGTTAATCACTGGATTGAAAAGTTATTGGAAAGAAATAACATGCAAAAGAAATGTTGCAAAATATTGTGAATGCATTGTCAAAGAAACAACTCACAAAATCATTTATTTCTTGAAAAGTATTTGAAACAGATCAAAACAAACCCAACGCTCGCCATATATGCATTGTTTCAAGATTTGGAAAACATATTGAAACTAAAATTAATATCCAGTGATGTGTTCAAAAGAAAGTGTTAAAAATAATGTGATATGTTATATCTGTGGAAAAAGAATGTAAACCTTCTTGGAAAGGGAGATGTGCTGATATTATGTAAGTCTTGAATAGACTAGAGTTCTCAACATGGCTCATGACATTGAATCATGACGTAGTATTGTTCTAATAAAGACACCTGTACATATTAACCTCCAAGCCTCCGTATCATGACTTCTACAGTAGAACCATAACCAAAATATAATACTCACCAAGTACTTTTTTGCTCGTGATCTCCTGAACTATGCTCGCCTGATGCCAGTCCATCTTGCTCAAATGAATTTGCCCTAGAAGAGGATGATCCAGAAATATGGAATGCCCTCAAGTCTGGAGACCTTGTGGTGGCAAAGTCAGAGATACCCTTTTCTCTACTCTTCACTGATCAGGCTCTAGAGCAAGAAATCAAGAAACTAAAGGGGAATGGTGGGATGGTTGGACTCATAAGAAATGAAGCCGCTCTGGACCGACTAGTCACTAGCTTCCACACCTCACCTTGCTGCTCTGGTAAATCAATGACTTCCCCAAAGCTACTGGAGCTTCAGTGAGGAAGGAGCATCATCAGCTCTCAGGAGACATTGCAGTGAGGTCAAAGAAGAATGCTCTGAAAATACGCCACATAATCGAGCTGCACTGCGGAGTCAATCCTTTCAAGGAGAAGACACAATATTATTGAAGAGTCTGGTTTCATCGGCACTTGTGTCAAATTAAATGAGGCGAAAAGTGACATTCTCCACTTTGCAGAAAAGAGAGTTGGTATCTGATCACTTGCCTTCATCATCAACCCTCTTGGTGTGGGACAAATTGAAGAAACTGAAGCTGAAATCCTTTTCGAACTGGATGGAGAAAAGGAAAGTGCATGTTGGAGACAAGGTCATCAAGTTGCGGGAGGAACGTCAATTGCTGGGAAGATTCCTTATCATTCAAGGCAGCCGCCCAAGCTTAGTTCCTAAACTTGCGGAAACAAAAGGTGAATATAAAATGTCAGTGGTTCCCGTTCACTATGTGCTGTCGATGGTTCTTTGTACTGTTGTGTTTGTAAGACTGTGCTAACAGTCAACGTCGAGGGCTCAATCCCCTTTATGTACACATGATGACAATATGATCGGACATCTTGGAATAGATTAAATCATCTCAACTTCTAAGTTCATTGTATCTAGTTTTATGTCTCTGAGTTCCTAAATACAACATCTGGCGACGAGAATGGCTGGAATAGGTCTTGTAGCACCTAACCCATTCCTAGCAACCCCAGGAGAACCTCCTGTGCCTTGGTCACGATGGATTTTGAGCTTCCAAACGTATTTGACTGCAAGCGGGTTGGACACAGCGGAGATACCCGACCTCCGCCGCGCAATCCTGATCCACTGTTTGGGCGCAGAGGGGCAGCGGATCTTCGGACAGCTGGAAGTGTCTACTACCGGTACGTACGATAAAGCTGTTGATGAACTTGAGAAATATTTTGGGCCAAAAACAAGTGTGATGATTGAACGATATCGTTTCCGACAGAGAGTACAAGGTCATGGGGAGCCAGTAAAACAATATGTGGCAGCCATAACCGAACTGGCATCCAAGTGCAAGTTTGGCACCTTAAACGATGAACTGGTTAGAGATCAACTAATCGAAAAGACGTCTATTCCCCGTATTAGAGAACGTCTGTTAATGGAGGATGACGGTCTGACACTTAAGAAGGCGCTCGATCTAGCGATCCAGATCGAAGCCGCAATGCTGGACGCCAAGCTCCTCAAACAACACGATGTGACTGTGAGTGCCAGTACAGGACATAGTCATACTGCACATCAGGCAACTCCAGTACAGAACATCAAACGACCATATCATAACAAAGCTCGCTCTAACCATGCTAACTCGAAGTCGTGTTCGAACTGCGGACGGACACACCCTCCGAAAGCGTGTCCAGCGTTTGGAAAACGTTGCAATTCGTGCTCGAAGATGAACCATTTCTCTAGCGTATGCAGAGCTACCAAGAAAAGTGCATCTTCAGTTCGACACGTTGATGAACCAATAGAGGGCGACATAGCAAGCAGCGTGTTCACACTCTCAGACCGGATTTCTTCAGCAAATTCAGGTCAGTTCAAAGAATGTGAAGTGCAGATTGCTGGTACTAACCTCTCTTTGATGATTGATGTGGGGGCCAAAGTGTCAATTCTTAGTGATAAACTGTATCATCGACATTTCTCACATTGTAGCATGTCATCGACATCGAGCAAGCTCATAGCATATGGTGAACCACCTACACTGATTTCCGTTCTGGGCACGGTTGAGCTTCCTGTCGGGTACAAGGATGTACATCTCGACAGCTTTACGTTCTACATAGCGAAGGGCGAGAGCCTTATGGGAGTCAATCTGTTCGACGCCCTAGGATTTCAGATGAACGACCACACTGGTGAACGCATTCGGCTCATAGACAATGCGTATAGAGAACGCTATGCTGCACTTTTCAATGAGTTTGGTAAATGCAAAGGATATTGCCATGCACCAAGGGTGGATTCCTCAGTCCCACCTACTGCACAGAGTCTCCGTCGACTTCCGTTAGCTGTCAGGGATGAAGTCTCAAAGGAACTTCATAGGCTTGAATCCGATGGCATCATCGAGCGCATCGATTCATCCCCGTGGGTGTCTAATCTGGTCATCGCACGCCGTAAGAATGGAGATCTTAGACTTTGTGTAGATTTGAGGGCGGTCAACAAGGCAATCATTCCGGATAAGTATCCTCTTCCTACTATGAATGAACTTTCAGCTTCATTCCACGGAGCTAAAGTTTTCTCTAAACTAGACATGAGACGTAGCTATCTCCAGGTTCCGCTAGCAGAGCAGAGCCGCCATCTCACTGCATTCAACACACACATAGGCATGTTTCAGTATCGCCGTATGACCTATGGACTGAACTCAGCACCTAGCGCATTCCAGAAAATCGTTTCTTCAGTTCTAGCTGGAATCGAGGGCACGTTGAATCTCCTTGATGATGTGGTAGTCTTCGGAGAGGACAAGGCTCAGCACGATCAACGATTAGCAGAAGTCATGACGCGCCTCGCCAAGCATAACTTGACGCTCAACGAGGCCAAGTGCACGTTCGCTGCTTCGGACATTGATTTTCTGGGATATCATGTCACTGCAGATGGTCTGACGCCTACACTCGACAACGTTGCAGCTATCCGAACACTCCCAGCCCCAACGAATGTGAAGGAGCTAGCCTCATTCTTGGGAACAACGAACTTCTACAGCAAATTCGTGCCACAATACGCAGCAATCGCAGAACCTCTGCAGAAGCTTCTCCGGAAGGACGCGCTTTGGGAATGGCACAACGCACAAGAGACCGCATTCAACACGCTCAAAGGAAGAATCGCAGAGCCGCCAGTTCTCGCTCACTTCACTCCAAGCGCTGAAACGTACGTGACTACAGACGCGTCAGCGTTCGCTATCGGAGCAGTGTTATCGCAAACGATCGACGGCAGTGTACGTCCGGTCGCATTCGCATCTCGAGCGTTGTCGGACACAGAGCGAAAGTATTCTACAGGAGAACGCGAAGCTCTCGCATGCATCTATGCCTGCGAACACTGGCATATGTACCTCTACGGTCGCAAGTTCACACTTCGTACTGACCATCAAGCCTTAACAACCTTGTTGAGCACTTCAGGATCTGGACACCGCCCACTCCGCATCTACAGATGGTCAGATCGACTGCACCAATATGATTTCAAGGTCGAATATCTCGCGGGTTCACGCAACCGAGTAGCAGATATGCTTAGCCGTACACCGAACGCGAATAGCAATCGCGATAGCCATGCAAGAAGCGACATCGAAGACGACGTCGAAGACTACGTTCTTATGGTGATCTCTCACGTGACCGCAAAGCTTGTGACACGTGAGCAGCTGAAAACAGAGTCAGCCGCAGATGCAACTTTACAGAAGGTCTGTCATTATCTCCAAACAGCATGGCCTAGAGAGATTTCCGAAGACCTCGTTCCATATCATTGTGTTCGCAATGAGCTAGCTATCTTCGACGACACGTGTATCGCCCGTGGCACCCGAGCGGTAATCCCGAAATCGCTTCAACATCGTGTGTTACAAACCGCACATGAAAGTCATCCAGGTGTGGTGAAGATGAAGCAACGATGTCGCGAAGCAATCTGGTGGCCAGCGATCGATCGACGCGTAGAAGATCTCGTCAGATCTTGTGAAGCGTGTACTCTCAGCGAGAAAACTCAACCGCGGCCAGCACCACTGCAGCCGACCCCATGGCCGAAGAAGCCATGGCAGCAACTTCAAGTCGACATCTTTGGGGAAGTCCAAGCCGCTCCTCAAAGTCAGCGATTTTTGTTAGTTGTACACGACCTCCATAGCAAGTGGCCTGAGATAGCAGCAACAAGCTCAGTCACTACGACATCAGTCATTAGCATCTTGGAGAAGATGTTTACCAAGTGGGGTCTTCCAGAATCTATCACCACGGACAATGGACCACAGTTCACGTCTGAACAGTTCGAAGAATTCCTAGCCGTTAATGGAATTCAACATCGCCTCACAACTTGCTACAACCCTCAAAGCAATGGCGGCGTAGAGCGTTTCAACCGGGTAATCAAGGAGAGCTTGAAAGCGAATCTCGCAGATGGAATGACCTTCGATAAGGCCATCCAGACCCTACTACGCACGTATCGCTCAACACCTCATTCGCTAACCGGAAAGACTCCAGCAGAGTTGATGTTGGGACGGAACCTCCGTATGCCATTCAACATCCTGAAACCACCGGTTTCAGAGCCTGCAAGCACACAGGCTGAAGCGAGAGAGATTGAGAGGAAACAGCAAAGCATGAAAGCGTACACTGACAAACGCAGACGAGCAATCACACCGAAATTCGCTATCGGTGACTGGGTTCGTGTAAAGCGTCCAAATCGCAAGCACAAGCTAGCTTCGGGGGTATCGAAACCCAAACAGATCGTGAAGAAGCTCGGCTCGAATGCTTTTGTACTAGATGACGGAACGCGATGGAACACCAGACGCCTTATCGCGAGCAAGCCAGGCAATATGAATGAAAGCGATTGGGAAGACACCTTTCCATTCCCTACAAGCACTGAAGATCAAGAGCAACAGCGAGCAGAATCGCGAACTGTTCGTCGTTCTCAGCGTCTAAGGAGACGACCTGGATATCTACGAGATTACAGATCTTAAATCCTTAGAGCCGACAAGTATTGAGCATAGAAATTAAAAAAACTGGAACGTTTAAGTTTTGGACTCATATGAAACAATTGCTCAATATAGGTTAATAAAATTTCAGGCTTGTTGTTAATAAACAAGTTTTATTTCTGGACTTATAAACTTTTGAACTCATATCTGGACTTAGTTATATAACATTATTCATCTCTTTAAAGGAGGGAAATATGTTGTGTTTGTAAGACTGTGCTAACAGTCAACGTCGAGGGCTCAATCCCCTTTATGTACACATGATGACAATATGATCGGACATCTTGGAATAGATTAAATCATCTCAACTTCTAAGTTCATTGTATCTAGTTTTATGTCTCTGAGTTCCTAAATACAACATGTACATCCCAACAGACAAAGCAAGTCTGATGCATGCAGTTGAAGATGAAAAAGGCAGAACCTCCCGATGCTGTAAAACAGCCTGACGTCGTGGAGGATAATCATTCAACTTCCCCACAGGTTGAAATGATGCAGGAAGAGCTAGGTTCTGGTTACCGTAGAACATGAGATAACGTAGGTTTCTTCTGGAGCAACCCAACAACCTAACCTCTTGCATGATCTTCCTGTCAAGGTGCTGATAATTGACGTCATTGGTGTACTTCAAGGCATGAAAAAGACACCTGCCATGCAAAAGATGTCAGACCTGCAGAATGCATTCAACAGGCGCATCGAAGGGATGATGGCTAGCTATGATGAAGGTCGAGTTGTGTTTGATCGATATATGGAAGAGTCATTAAATAACAAGACTCGACAAAAGAGGGCAACTACATCAGTAGAATACGAAAAACACCCAGAAATGAAGCTCACAATGTCCATCAAGGAGCTTCTATCTTCATCGTCAACCAAGAAAAAGCTGACGTGCCTGTTAGGTCAGGGGCTGCGATAACTTTTCACCGTAGATGGACAGCCCTTTCAAGCTAGTGGTTGTGTATGATACCTTCGATCATCAAGGGACATGATTTTGAGGAGGCGCACACACATGAAGAGGCTGATATATACCCTGATTCCTAATCAAGTCCTTGCCTCTACTGCTATAGTGGTGCCTTGTGAGAAATTACTGTCTGGTCCCCTGACACTGATGTCCTCTTTCTCTTAATTCATCTAGCATCTTGTGGAAACAATGCAGTGCCCACTTCTCTACAATTTTCTACAGGCAAGGGTACAAAGAAACGAGAATTAGATGTGCTGGAGCGGGTTCAATTCATTGGACATTAAATGTCAAGGCCTCCTTGGACTTCATAATTGTTCTGGTGCTGACTGGGGAGGAAAGTTTGTTGGGGTATCCAAGAAGAAATGGATCAATGCCTACTTAAAGCTTGATGATGATGATCCTGTCATTATCTGCTTCAAAGAACTGGGCGAGGGTGAGCCTAGCAATGAAGAGCTTCCAACACAGGTGAAGGCACTAGAGCATTTCATATGTCGTGTTTACTGTTCATCAGGTCAAACAACCCTACCATCGCTCAGATGGAAACTGTTTCGATCAAAGAACCTGGAATGTGAGATGTTACCTCCAACTCGTGCCGCATTACTACCTCACATCCTCCCTGCCAATTACATCACGATGAGAGATAAATCATACAAGACTATAACTACCCAGTGCTTCCTCCTATCGAAGAGAATGGATGGTATTCAGATAATCGAGGATGTCTTCCAGTCAAGTGTCTTGCGCTCCCTGCACCACGGGCAGTACTTGAACTCATCAAATGTGCATGTGGCTGCAAAGCAGGATGTAAGGGACGATGTAGCTGCTCCAACAACGATTTGCCCTGCACTCCTCTCTGCAAATGCTATCATGGTGGAGACTGTGAAAACCGGACAAGGGAGGATGCTCCAGATAGTGGCAGCGATTGACTTTTACTGGAAGTCTGATGAACCTTTCCTGTTGTCATGGTAACCACGAAGTAGGTGGTTACCCCTTTCCCGATTTTATTTTATGTTTTGTTTATAACTGGAAAATGTTTCCAAATAATTCTTTGATTTAGATCAAGATTGTGTCATGTACAAGTATTTTGGAACAAAATAGCTCAACTTGTTTCTGTTGTTTTTTTTTATTCGGGGGGGGGGGGGACCATATCAACAAAACAAAAGGTAATTTTCGTATTATTTTGCATTTGAAAAAAATATTACATATATCATTTGTCAACTTTCTGATTGACTGATGCAATTACAGTGCCTAGAAGTTGATATTTGAGAATGTTGTTATATTGTCATCTGAAGGTGTTTGGCGCAATTTGGTGTTTAAGTAAGTTATTCATTTGATAAAATACTAAAATAGGGTTGATTTTTATATTAACAGCCTAAAAATAACAGTGTTAATGACATGTGATATGTTTCACAATTATTCCACTGTATAATAACACACAATAATGCCATTTCCACTTATTATTTCAAAATCCTAGCCCAAAAGAAAGAAGAAGGACACAATTTTTATGTAATATTTCCCAGTTTTTCACAATTTTTCGCAAATTGCGTCCCCATTAAGGTCAAAGTGAAAAAGTTTTATGACGCAATATCATTAAAAATGAATCCTTATTATACCTCAGACAACTTCACAGTGTAATTGGCGAAAAAATATATGAATTAGGGTGGAAGACACCAAATTTCCCTATTGCGCTTTATATATGCCATTTTGGCTCCCAAAATGGACCCCCCAGGAAGTGAAGGAGGGAAAATTAGGGGGTGTGGGTAATAGGCCTACCGCGCGAAGCGCGGAAGCTTAGACGTTTCCTTAAATTATTAGGAAAAGAAGACGAATTATTGTACCGTTCTCGACTGTTAACCCTTAGCTGAATGAATTCCCCCCCCCTCCCGCGCGAAGCGCGAAAGCCTTGGCGTTTCATTAAATTATTATAAAAAGCAGACGATTCGTTGTACCGTTCTCGACTCTTAATCCTCGTCTGAATTCAGTTTCCACTTCCCGCGCGAAGCGCGAAAAGCTTAGACGTTTGATTTAATTATTATAGAAAGAAGACGATTCGTTGTACCGTTCTCGACTCTTAATCTTCGTCTGAATTCAGTTTTCCCCTCCCCCCTCCCGCGCGAAGCGCGGAGGCTTGTACGTTTCATTAAATCATTAGAGAAAGAAGACGATTCGTTGTACCGTTCTCGACTCTTAATCCTCGTCTGAATTCAGTTCCCCCCCCCCCCTCCCATCCGCGCGCGCGAAGCGCGGAAGCTCTTACGTTTCATTAAATCATTAGAGAAAGAAGACGATTCGTTGTACCGTTCTCAACTCTTAATCCTTGTCTAAATTCAGTTACCCCACTTCCTGCGCGAAGCGCGGAAGCTTTGACATTTAATTTAATTATTAGAGAAACAAGACGATTCGTTGTACCGTTCTCGAAAATAATCCTCGTCTGAATACAGTTACCCCACCTCCCGCGCGAAGAGGCGGAAGCTTGTACGTTTCGTTAAATCATTAGAGAAAGAGGACGATTCGTTGTACCGTTCTTGACTCTTAATCCTTGTCTAAATTCAGTTACCCCACCTCCTGCGCGAAGCGCGGAAGCTTTGACATTTAATTTAATCATTAGAGAAACAAGACGATTCGTTGTACCGTTCTCGACTCTTAATCCTTGTCTAAATTCAGTTACCCCACCTCCTGCGCGAAGCGCGGAAGCTTTGACATTTAATTTAATTATTAGAGAAACAAGTCGATCCGTTGTACCGTTCTCGAAAATAATCCTCGTCTGAATACAGTTACCCCACCTCCCGCGCGAAGAGGCGGAAGCTTGTACGTTTCGTTAAATCATTAGAGAAAGAGGACGATTCGGTGTACCGTTCTTGACTCTTAATCCTTGTCTAAATTCAGTTACCCCACCTCCTGCGTGAAGCGCGGAAGCTTTGACATTCAATTTAATTATTAGAGAAACAAGACGATTCGTTGTACCGTTCTCGAAAATAATCCTCGTCTGAATACAGTTACCCCACCTCCCGCGCGAAGAGGCGGAAGCTTGTAGGCCTACGTTTCGTTAAATCATTAGAGAAAGAGGACGATTCGTTGTACCGTTCTTGACTCTTAATCCTTGTCTAAATTCAGTTACCCCCCCCTCCCATCCGTGCGCGCGAAGCGCGGAAGCTTTTACGTTTCATAAAATCATTAGAGAAAGAAGACGATTCGTTGTACCGTTCTCGACTCTTAATCCTTGTCTAAATTCAGTTATCCCACCTCCTGCGCGAAGCGCGGAAGCTTTGACATTTAATTTAATTATTAGAGAAACAAGACGATTCGTTGTACAGTTCTCGAAAATAATCCTCGTCTGAATACAGTTGTCCCCCTCCCGCGCGAAGCGCGGAAGCTTTTACGTTTCATTAAATCATCTGAGAAAGAAAACGATTCGTGCGGTCAGATGAATATCTTTTGATACCTTGTCCGCCCCCGGAAACTCATGGGTTGAAGGCAAATTACGGTCAGATAAACATTCAGGGGCCCGCCTCAGGGCCCCTGGTGGGATCGAGGGTGCGGAAAGGCCCCTGAATCTCATGGGTTTCAGGCATTTGATTACGGTCAGATGAACACATTTTTTATACCTTATTTGTGACACTGGCAGGACACTGATTGGCGTGAGGTCCAGCGGGCGGAGCCCCCAGAAGATCAAGGGTTTTAGGCACTAAATTGCGGTCAGATGAGTATCAAGTGGCCTGACCAAGGGCCCTTGGTTGGGTCCCGGGGGCAGAGACCCCGGAAGCTCAGGGGTTTTAGGCGTTTAATTACGGTCAGATGAGCAATTTTTGATACCTTATTTTGTTGTGACACTGGTAGTTAACTATTCTTTCTTTCTTGCTCTCTTTCTTTCTATTTCTCTTTAAAATGCTTTTCAATTATTGGGGGGGGGGGGCAGCTGAGGCTCCCGATCCCCGCCGTTCCGCGGGCCCTGACATGTAGGCATTTCAAGAAGCATATTTCTTGCCTGGCTGTTAATTTACAAACGCATAAAAAAGTATAATTTTTTAAAGAATGAGGA